GGCTTGGTTTTTGCATAAACCTTGATAAAAGGATTACAACATACATTATGTCTGGTCATGTGGCTGTTAAATATAGTAAGCTTCCAATCAAGCTTCTATAGCGAGATGCATCAACATCTGGTTCTCCATCATCTTTTTGTAGCTTCTCCTTTGTCACAAGCGGAGTAGTGACAATCTTGCAACCACTCATCTTGAACTTCTTGAAGAGAGCTTCAATGTATTTCTTTTAACAAATGAATATCCTTTTCTTATTTTGACTTACCTCAATACCAAGGAAGTAGTTCATCAAGCCAAGGTCCGTCATTTCAAATGCCTTCATCATGTCTTCTTTGAATTCTGTTATCATCTTCATATTGTTCCCTGTGTAGATAAGATCATCTACATACAAGGAGATGATGAGTGTGTCATACTGACATTGGGTCTTGATGTATAGTGTTGGCTCACTCTTACTCCCCCTGAATCCATGATTAGTGAAATATTGATCTATTCTGTTGTACCATGCTCGAGGAGTTGCTTCAAACCATATAAAACTTTTCTAAGCCTTAGTACTTTGTCTTCATTGCCCTTGCTTATGAAACCTTGTAGTTGCTCTACATAGATCTCTTGTATTACTCCATTGAGAAAAGCGTACTTTACATCTAACTTGTAGATATTCTAGCCTTTTTCTGGCGCAAGAGCTATTAGAGCTCTAATTGTATCTAGGCGTGCTATGAGGCAAATGTCTCATTGTAGTCGACTCCAGGTTGTTGTGAATAGCCCTTAGCTACCAACCTTGCCTTGTGCTTTTGTATGTTTCTATCCGGATTGAGCTTTGTCTTGTAAACCCATTTTACCCCGATGATATCTTTGTCTTTTGGATAGTATACTAGATCCTATGTGTTATTTTTCTAAAAATCATTTTTATCTCTTCTTCTGTAGCCTTGACCCATACTTGTTGCTTTGATGCTGCTTCAAAGCTTTCAGGTTCAAGTATGACCAAGTTGCAGGTTTCATATATATCCTCCAAGGATCTAACTCGTCTTGAAGTAGACTCTGGTGATGGAGTTTGTTGTTATGGAGGAGAATGAGGCTCACCTGGGACTTCTGCAGTTCCTTCTTCAAGTTGCTGCATTGAAATAGAAATGTTTCTCTCTACTTTCTCGCCATTCCAATTCCAAGCTGCATTTTCATCAACTTCAATGTCTCGGCTAACAGTCAGTTTCTTGCTTTGCAAGTTGTAGACTCGGTAGCCTTTTGACTGTGTGCTATATCCAAGGAAGATACCTCGTACTGTCTTGTCTTCTAGCTTGTGCCTTTTCTCTTTTGGAATATGTATGTAGCAAATAGATCCAAATACCCTTAGGTGCTTTCTGATGGTTTTTTCCCACTTCAGGCTTCAATCGGAGTCTTATCTTTGATTGCTTTAGTTGGGCATCTATTAAGTATATAGACAACAGTATAAACTGCTTCAGCCCAAAAAGTGTTTGGTAATCCTTTCTCCTTGAGCATCGATCTGGCCATCTCCATTACTGTGTGATTTTTCCTTCACTAGTGCAAAAATAGCTTTTAAGATCAGGGTTTTAAAATCGGTTAAGGGAGAACTGATTTTAAAAGAGAGGCGGTGACATTTTTGTAATTAAAATCACCACTTTTAAAATCTGTTAAAATTTAACCGATTTAAAATGGTATTTTAAAATCGGTTCTTATTTAGCCGATTTTAAAAGGTTCCTTTGTTACTACTTTTAAAATCGGTTGTTTTAGAACCAATTTTGTATATAGTATACAAAATCGGTTCTAAAATAACCAATTTAAAAAAGTAGTAACAAGGCACCTTTTAAAATACTATTTAAAATTGGTTAAAATTTAACCGATTTTAAATATCTGCGTTCTTATTCCCCCTCTCGCGCTTCAGCTTCACTATTCACTTGTCTCAGGTTTGTCGTGCCGTTCGAGTTCCCTTTCATCTTCACCAAGAAGGTAAGTGCTTGAGTCTTCACTTTTGGGTTAGGGTTTTCTCGCGGACGCCACCGCCATTGTCGCGCAAGTCGTCACCTCCCGTGACGCCGTAACCATATTTTTCCCTGGTTTGTTTCAGATTCCTCTTGAAGCATTAGAGGCATATACCCAGATATCTAGTCACCCCTTTCACAAAACAAACAAACAAGGCATTATATCTCTTGATATCCTTCATTCTAAGGTATGGATTTTAATCTCTAAATTGGAAACTCAGTGGTCATTGTAAAAAGGTTTTATTTCAATTTGAATTGCTGGACTGATCTTTTCTTTAGATTCGTGTGCTGATTATGGGTACTTTTAGTAGGTGACCAGTGTAAAGTTTGTAGCTCAGGGCGAATCATTCTTAACTTTTTCAGCAGACAAGGTAAAATGCCATCCTTTTCTTAGGTTTAACTATATCCAATTTCATCTAAAGTTTCACACTAGTGTTTCTGTTGGGCTTGTTATGGCCTAGCATTTTTGAGATTTGTTTTTTTTTGTCTTGTTATCGGTTAGTAGTAAGTAATGTGCTTCCAGTGTATAGTGTATTACTTGATTCTTCCAGTGTCTCTATAGTAATTATAAATGCTTCTGATTGGAATTATTTGATGTTTGCAAATTATTTAATCTCAATTCCTCTTCAACCTTGTTCTTGTTCCCCAGTGTTTGGCTGATGATCTTGCTGCCATGGTATTTAATCAAATGAATATAGATTTTCTGTTCTACATGTGTATTCAATGTATAAAATCTTCTTTACCGTTATATCATCTTTTTCATAGGACTTCTTTTTCCCTCTTTTTAAGCTTAGTTGGGGGCAGGGCAGAGACGTGAGAGAGAAAGACATGGTTACTTTATGTACTTGATGATTAAAAGTTTCCCACAAGGACAAAAAAGCATATATAATTCCAAGCAGTTAAGTATTACTGATTTAAAATTAATTTGTAGATTGAAACATCAAAAGAATCCATTCTGTCAGTAATTCCACCATGTCCTTGAATACTATCACCAAAATCCTGCAAAAATGAGAATAAACAGCAAGTCTGTTTATACCTGACCTCAATGGATGATATTTGCTCACTTCCTGATCAGAAAAACAAAAGTTTCAAAAGCATACCTTTATTTTAAAAGCCCTTTTAAAACCACTTGCAAAGAAGCCTCCAAAAGGTGCAATAATTGAGGCAAACAAGCCAAGACATAAAGCATGCCATTGAACTGGTAGGACTGATATCTCCTTCCAAGGAAACTGTATAGGACAACATATAGTGTGTCGCAGGTTATGATTTTCAAATAGTCCAAGAATCTGGATTCGCATCTCATGATTACAGATTGATCACATTTTATATGCTGAACTGTAATGTGGAAATAAAAAATAAAAAAAAATTCTAACATTTAGTAGTTGGTAGAAAATCTGATTTTCTAATCCTATGTAGAATAGAGATATTTTGTAATGGAAAATTTGATTGTTGAATTTGAAAATAACTTGTGAGCAGGTCATAAGCTCTTTTCATAGGTTTATCCAAATGCTTACACAAGTGTTTATGTCATAAGATCAGACCATGTATGCTCTTCCAAACGTCCCCTTTATCCAAGAAGAATGAAGGTTAAAATCAATTGTTCCAATTTGACTTTCTTTACATTCATGATAAAAAAATGTATTAAGTTAATGACTGGGCAAATTTGAATAAGTCATTGAGCCATTTGTTTTCAAGCTGATGTGTAACTTTCATGTTCCATATTTTTTCAAGTTTTTTATTCTTAGTCAAATTTACGGTTGGTTTTTTTTTTTTTTTTTTTTTGCTATTTGAGGTATCCAGATTGTGTTTTTGGTGAATTTTTTACAAGTTTGACAATGCACATACTTACACTATCAAGTAGATATTGATGTAGACCAAAAGATTCAAATAAGCATATGCTTTTCTTTTCTCCCTCTTAACTGCATCATAGAATGTTTCCAACTAATATTGCCAAAAGCAGAAAATGAATTAGAGGACCTGTTCTGGTCCGTATAGTTCTCCGTGTTCTCTACTAAGATAAATGAGTATAATTCAATGCCCTTTATATGATTTAACCCTTGCTGATGTCTTCTAAAATATTCTTACTCTTAATGCAAGATTTGTAACATTTTTGATTTTATTTTCACATTTCTGACTAATATATGGATTTGAATATGCTTACACAAGTGGTCATTCTATAATTTGATTATCTTTCTTCACTATATTATACTTGTATTCATTAATGTTGTTTTTGTTTGGTTAGCCTTGCCATTGGACGAGAAGGAGGTGTTGCACCTTTGATTGCACTGGCACGGTCTGAAGCAGAGGTAACTTATTCCCTTGATGTTCAGTGTTTAATTTATGGATATGTTTACTAATCAATGATAAACTAGTACATGACAATGCCCAAAAAAATCCCCATTTTGATGGATCAATTAGTTCGATGCTGGTCTTGTTAATTGTTATTATTAACAGTCTTTTTATTTGCTTTAGAGTAGTTGTTTGCACTTATATTGGTGTGTTTCACAAGCCTTTTTCTCTTTTAGGGTTATGTTAATAGTTTTTCATATTAAATTATTAGTTCATAGTGCACAACACTCTGTTATCTGGGTTAAGTAGGTGGTTAAACAGAACAACTTGTATTTGTGACTTTCTGCTTGGCTGTTGTTAGCATCTTCCTCTGATTTTTACTGTACTAACTTCTATAGGCTACGATAAAAAAGTTACTGTTGTCATGAACTAACAATCCAAAAAAGCTTAAGCTGTTAAGTGAAAACTCAAATTGTTTTGATATAACTGACATCCCCTTGCATGCAAGAGCTGTTTGGGATTGAAGTGTGGATAATTCACAGGCCGTTGAAATTCAACATTTTATTAGAGGAATGGAGTGGCAATTGAACTCTAGACTATTGGAAGATAGACTTTCTGATACCTTATCATAAACCAACAATCCTACAAGCTTAAGTTGTCAGGTGAAGAGGACAAGACTTATAAGAAACCGACCTAAAGAGTCAAAGTGGAGAAGTTCCCAGAATCTCAGGAAAGGTCATAGTGTGTGGAAGTATTTATTATATTTATTTTATGTTTATATCACATTGGAGTTTTCTGGATTGTTGGAAAGAAAACATTAGTCCAATTAAATTTGAGAGTTGTGCCAAACAAATTCACGATCTTATCTCAATCTATCATATTTATAATATATACTTTTTGTGCATTTTTAAGTCTCATGAGCAGAAATACCTCCGCGTGGTGTTTCCCAAACCTACTTATTTTTATAGTAGTTCAAGTGGAGTTCAACAAATATGATCAAAATTTGAACAAAAATATGGTGGGTAGATTTGGCCGGTGACAAGTTTTTTTTTTTTTCCTGGAAATTATGATGATTTGATAGGCATAATGAATTTGATAATCTTTGTTCATTGTTCAAACAATATAGGAAAGAAGAAAATTAAAGTTGTTGACGTTACTAGGAAAGGACATTTATTTATTTTGCTTAGAATTGGTCTATCCAGAAAGTGGAAGGTGTGAAATTGAAAGAAAAGAAAGAAGGATGTTGGGTGAGTGAACACGTTTTTAACCAAACAAAAATAAGCAATATCATCTCAACGCCCAAATTTTAAATCATCTAACTTTCCATTCTCGTGACTTCCAGGTAAGTAACTTTCGCAAGCATGCATCAGATAAGTGATCTATGTATTTTTAAATATTTATTATTTTTTAAAAATAATACTAGATAATATTTTAATATTTAATGATTAATAGATAAGAAAAAAAATAAAAAAAATATGCAGGTGAATTATGAAAAAGAAAATATGAAAAATTTAAATTTTTTATTTTTCAAGAGGATATAAAATTTTCTTATTTTAAAAAATTTTAAAAATTTCATTCTTAAAATATTTGAAATTTTTTTAAAAATAAATTATTTTATTTAAATTTTTCATCAAAATACATTCTAAAATTATTTATTAATTTTAAACATAAACTAGGAAATATTTTTTAATTAAATTTTATACACTATATTTATTAATATCGTTAATCAATCGTAAAACATTTTATAGGTTAATGTAATGGTTGAAAAAATTAATAAGTTTAATAATAATAATAATAATAATATTATTATTATTATATATAAATCAACCACCTATTAGTGTAATTAATATTTTTTTGTCGTTTATAAATGGTACAAGTAAGTATAGTATAATTCATATTTGTAGATATCTATTAAATAAAATTATTTATTATTTATATTTTATCTTATATTTTATATTATTTTAATATTTCAACAAATTAATATCAAATACAAATTCAAAAATAAATATCAATTATTAATCATATTTTAATAAAATTATCATTTTTCATATGTTGTTATGATTGCTGGTAGCTAACAATACAATTTATGTGTGACAGGCATCCGTTTTCTATTACCTCAGCCCCTGGCGACGACTACCTTAGTGTTCACATACGACAACTGGGAGATTGGACTCAGGAGCTCAAAAGGGTATTCTCTGCGGCCTGTGAGCCTCCTGTAGCTGGGAAGAGCGGGCTTCTTAGGGCTGATGAAACCACCAAGAAATGGTACGTGATGGGCCTACCATATTTGTTTGCCTTGTAACTTCGTCCTCGGAACAAATGATTTATACTCAGATTCCTGTTATCTTGGTATGAATAATTGACACAGTTTACCAAAGCTAAGGATAGATGGACCTTACGGTGCACCGGCACAAGACTACAGAAACTATGATGTCCTATTACTTGTCGGTCTCGGGATAGGAGCAACACCTTTTATCAGCATTCTAAAAGATCTTCTCAACAATATTGTCAGAATGGAGGAGCTGGCGGTGAGTTTTAAAGCAACAAGTAACATTATGGTGTTTAATATAAGCCTTGTCAAACTGACCATTCTTCGAATGTTTTTATTTACGATGAACATAACAATCATGGTTGCTCGCTATCCAGGATTCAGTCTCTGATTCTAGTAGAGGTTCAGACCTTAGTGCTGGGAGTGCAGATTCACCATCTTTAAATAAGATTTCTCCTAAACGAAAGAAGACACTGAAAACTACCAATGCTTATTTCTACTGGGTAACAAGAGAACAAGGTTCTTTCGATTGGTTTAAAGGGGTCATGAATGAAGTTGCTGAACTTGATCAAAGGGTATTAACTGCTATAGAATATTTATCTTGTTAAGACTTTCTCTTGAAAAATTCATAGTATTCCTTTATTCTGCTGCCAAATTAGTAAGTCATATTGCTTTAGCTAATGTTCAATGTCTAATTATGGACTTCAGGGTGTTATTGAGATGCACAACTACTTAACTAGCGTATATGAGGAAGGCGATGCCAGATCCGCCCTCATTACTATGGTCCAAGCCCTCAACCATGCAAAAAATGGAGTTGATGTTGTTTCTGGGACTAGGAGACACATGAATGGTTTATATTGCATCTCTAACAATTGTATCTCCCACTTTATAATCAAATGTTGTATAGTTCTTTTCTTTGTTTCTGTGTCTCTACCAAAAAGTAATTGAAGTTAGACTTATCTCCCACTAGAGAGACAAAGGAAACATCTCTGTTTGTTTTCTCTCACGGGCAAAGGATCCAAACAATCCCAAATTAACACTCTCATTTTTCAGCAATTTTCAATTTTAAGTACAAGAATATGTCAACAACTGATGAACATGAACATGAGCACACTGACATTTGAAACGTAAAGAAAAAAATAATTATTATATTAGAAATAAAAATTTATAATATTTATTTAAAAATATAATTTTGTTTCGTTAATACCATCACGTACTTATTTGGAATACCCTTATAATTAATCTCATAAGAGTGACAGGCTATGTCGAACACCTTAGGATGGGACAGAAAGCAAGATATATTAAATTACTTGGAATATTTGTTAGTTTTTACAGGGTTGGGGAATCTAATCTATTATATATTATATACTTTAGTATTAACAGTGATGTGCTTCTTTGATCAAGTCATAATCATAATAATATATTTGTGAGGTTTGATTTTTTTTTTTTTTTTAAGATTATGTCTACAGACATTTTAATTGATAAAATTAATAAAAAAAAACTGTATTAGAACTTGTTTAGTCATAAGTTAAAAATTCTTTTGAGAAATTTTCAATTAAAAATAAAGAGTAATTTTTAATAAATAAATTTTTAAAACTAATTTTAAACTTATATACAAATAAGTTCTTAGTTTCATTTATAAGCCGAATAATATTAGTTAAATCATACTTTCATAATCATAAAGGGTATTGAGAAAGAGCATGGTGCATTTTGATTCGCTAATCAATTTGACTTGAGGTTTATTTAGACTTGTTTGAGGTATTAGAAATAGATTTGCTGTAACTTTTATAACATGTTTTGGTTTATTTAGACTTGTTTAACTCGATTTAATTTTTAATATTTTTTAAAAGTATAAAATTTTAAAATTGTTACATATTAATAAAAGAAATTATTTATTTGTTAAATTTGTATAAATTAATATTAAATTTATAAAAATTGTTTATATTAAAATATATTATAAAATATACTTTTTATATTAAAATTAGTGTGATATGTTACCAAATCGAGTCAATTACTTTATATATTTGGATTTTTGATCGGCCAAATTTAAATTTTAAAAAATAAAAATTCGGATAAGTAGAAAGGGTCCATGCTTACCCCTACATGAAGGATATATTTATAAAAAGAGGTAGTTTAACTATATTAAGCTCACATCCTATCTCACAACTCAAATTTAATACAATAAAACCCTTATAAAGAAAATTCATTCCCATCTCAAATAACCATACAAGCTTCAATTCAATTCCTCGTTACATATATCACTGTTTAACATAAAAAAAAATTAAATGTTAATTATTACTATATTCTATAATATGTATGAGGTGTAGAAAAAAATCAAAAGTTAACTGAAAATGTTAATTGTTATGACATTCTATATGTATGAGGTGCTTAATATCTTGATGGGTATTTGTTCAGGGAGCAACATCAATCAGGACCTTCTCATTCTGAAGAACCTAGAGTACAGGAGGATCGTCACGCTGATCAGTAAAACTTACTAAAATAAAAAAAGAGAAATAGAATAAAAAATTATAAAAAAATATATGGCAGGTTTTTAGTTTATTTGGTTTGATAAAAAATTGCAATGAAATAATGTAACAAGTCATTTAGTTTAAATAGAATGAAAAAAAAGATTATAAATAAACATACTTGATTTATTATTTGAAGCTTTGAAACGCATGCACTTTTTTTCTCTATAATTCTTGTCTATTATATATTTAGTTTATGCACAGTGAACCTTAGTTTCTCATTTGAGATTAAATACAAATGATTAAATTTATTTAATCATTTATATTTAATCTTGAATTGTCTTGTTGGACAGTTTGGGATGAGTAATTTTCTTTATACTTGTTTGATACGTACAAGTTAAGTCTCATCTTAAATTTGATTAAATTTTGGTTTATTGCATTTTGTGTTGTTCTTTGAGTGCATATTTGATTGTGGTGTATATAATTTGATGTCACCACTTTCATTTCATGTACTTAGAGACCAATACAAAATGCTGTCAAAATTTTGTCAAGTTTAGGAAAATGGATTGTACTAGTACATATTGATCAAGTATAAAATAAAATCTTGAATGGGATAGGGTCACACCTTGTATAAAATAGTGAGATTGACATCCATGGTCTATCTTTTTGATAGAGAACATAACTTATGGATCGAAGTTGGTTATTGGATCGAAGTTGGATACGAGCACCATGCATAATTGAGTAATATGAGACTAGAGTTGAATATTTTATTGAATATGTAATACGAAATGGTATTGATGATATGAATGGAAATTTTTTTTGTCCTTGTGTTAATTATTGTAATGGGAGTCGTTTAGAACTTGATGTTATAAGGGAACATCTTCTATGTGATGGGTTTCTTAAGAATTATACACGTTGGATATGGCATGGTGAAAATATTGACATTCCAAATGTGTCAGCTGAAACTCAAACTCAAAATTTTACACAAGAGGTAGATATGGATGATCGATTTGAGGAGATGATTCGTGATGTTGGTCCAGAATCATTCAAGAGAGCACATATGTATGAAACTTTATGCAGAGATTCAGAGAAGACGTTATATCCAAATTGCACAAAATTCACAAGATTGTCAGCGGTATTAAGATTGTTTAATTTGAAGGCGAAACATGTGAGACAAGTCATAACTAGGCTTTGCTTATTTTTCAATGGCATATGCAACAAAGTAATTGATCCTCAGAAGTTGGATGAACTAGAAGATGAAGCTATTCTAATATTGTGTCAATTAGAGATGTATTTTCCTCCTTCATTTTTTGACATTATGGTTCACTTAATCATCCACTTGGTTAGGGAGGTTAGGTGTGGACCTGTCTTTTTGAGATGGATGTACCCAATTGAGCTATACATGAAGATACTAAAAGGGTATGTGAAGAACCAATATTGTCCAGAAGCATCCATCATAGAAAGGTACATTGCAGAGGAAGCAATTGAGTTTTGTACTGAATACATGTATCAAGCTGAATCAATAGGCATTCCTAAGACTCGTCATGAGGGACGAAGTGCTGGGAAGGGTACAATAGGCACAAAACTAAAAAGCATGATGCGAGAAGAAGTGCTTCAAGCGCATTTGTATATATTAAACAATACTGATGAGGTTCTTCCTTATTTAAATGCCCACAAAGACTTAGTGAAGAGAAACAACCCTCGCATGCCTGAGAAATGGGTGTTGAACGAGCATAATAAGACTTTCATAGAGTGGTTCAAAAAGAATGTTGGGACAAATTTAAATGTTTCTGAAACTTTACAACGGCTAGCTCAAGGACCTAACTTTGATGTGTTTACTTTCTGTGGATATGACATTAACAATTACTCATTTTATACAAAGGCACAAGATGACAAAAGTACTATGCAAAATAGTGGTGTTATGATAGTTGCTCAATCTATGCATTTTTCAACCAGAAATGATAAGAACCCCATCACAGCATCCATGTGTTATTTTGGAGTTATTGAAGACATATGGGAGGTTGATTATGGTCCATTCCGAGTACCTGTATTTAAATGCAAGTGGGTTGATAGTAACAATGGTGTCAAAATTGATGAACTTGGATTTACCTTGGTTGACCTCAATAAAGTTGGTCATAAGGAAGAGCCTTTTATCATGGCTATGCAAGTAAAGCAAGTATTTTATGTCACTGATCCATCTAACAATAGGTGGTCAATTGTTCTACAAGGTAAGAGTAATAATATAGGTGATGAATTTGGAGATTCAATTGATATTATGGATACTCCTTCTTTGTCCAAACGGGTGCCAACTATTAATGAAGAAGATGATGTTGATAATGTACATGCCACTCGTGATGATCATCAGGAAGGAATATGGGAGAACATTCAAACTTGATCATATTTCCAAAATAGGTTATTATAGTTTTTTTTTGTTAGTTACTTCTATTTATACTTTTATTTTTGTTATCACTTTAAGTATTATTTATTATAAAACTAATGACTTGTAGTTTATTTTGTTTCTGTCAACAGATAAATATGGATGAACATCAAGACTCTCCTTCAGACTCTACACAGACTACAGCCAAGAAGAAAGTCAGAGGTCCCACTAGAATGAAGAATGTCACATCCAAACGCCTTCACGAGGAGAGATTGCATGTTGATATTGATGAGATAACTAAGAGACCTATAGGAGACTCAGCTACCCAATTTATGAGTACCATGGGGGTTCTTGCTAGAACCAAGGTTTCTATTTTATTGCCTAGTTGGGATCATGTAGAGGAGGTTGTCAAGAACCATATTTGGGCAGATATTACGGTAAAATTTCATTACTCAACATTTTTCATTATTAAACTTCATTAGGATATAACATGTACTAACTCATTGTTATCATAAATGTAGGAAACTTGGGACATTCCTAGGACAGAGGACATGAGAAGGAAAACCCTCTCTATTGTGGCTGAGAGGTGGAGGGCATATAAGACCAGCCTCACAAACAATTACATTTTTGGAAAAAAGAAAGGTGAATTTCCTGGTTATAAGAACCCCACCATAGATCAAGAGACATGGAACGCATTTGTAGAGTCTAGAATGACTAAAGAGTTTTTGGTAAGTTAGGATTACATGCATTGTTATTTGTATTGTTCAGAATATTATGTTTTTACCTTTAATCTCATTATATGGTACTTTTGTAGGAGAAAAGAAAGAAGGCACAAGAGATTCAGGCAAACAATGACACCATTGTTGTGATGTCTCGTGGGGGTTATCCATGGCTTAAGAAAAAGTTGATGAAAGAGAAGGCTATGAAGCGTCAAGCTAGCCAAGATGAGACTACAGTTAGTGATCCTCCTTCTCCACCCACACGTCATGAATTATGGAAGCATGGTCGCATAAAAAAAACGGGCGAGTTTACAACTGAGGCAGCAAAAGAAATTGCTAACAAGATAGTAAGTATAATTGTTTTGTACATATGATGCTAATTAAGATATGGATCAATAGATGTTTATTAAATTGTTTTTGTGTCTTGTATTGTAGGATATATTGGAACAACAGTCCACAGAGGGATCTTTTGTTTCCCATGGACGCCAGGATATACTCACAGTTGCAATTGGAAAGCCTGAGCACCCAGGTCGGGTTCGGGCTGCTGGTGGAGGTCATAGTTTACAAACCTACTTTGGATCACGCTCATCTTCACAGACATCTGGCACGGTGGACCAGTTAGTGGAACTAAAGGTCTCTCAAGTTATAGCAACTTATGAGCAAAAATTTAGTCAGATGCAGGAGGAGATTCATAAGCGGCTACAAGAGGACATGCAAAGGCAACTACAAGAGCATATGCAATCACTCAGCCAACAATTTCAACAAAGTACTCCAATAGTAGAACCATTTATTGCACGTGTGAGTACAAAGGGATCATGTGCTTCTATTGATCCCCCTGTTACTGCCACTGGCCCAGGTACATCTAATAAATGTGAGTTGTTTGTGGATGGATCACTCGATCCTGTGGGTATAGGGCAGATTCACATATTAGGGTCCACTGTACACCATCAAGTCATGGGAGATGATATGGTTAGGGTTTCAGTGTTGGATGTGAGACAACCAGAGGCTAGAGTTCCTATGCCCACAGTGGAGGTTCAGACAATGGGACAAGCCTTGAACACCTTCCTTCAGTGGCCTTATAAGTTAGTAAAGGTGATATCTACGAAGGTATGTTATTTAAATAATATTTAATTTTAAGTTGGTGTAATTTTATTATAATATTGTATAATATTAGCTTTGTACTTTGTGGAGTAGGATATTGTTACCTCACCAAAGGGTAAAGGGACGGTCATTGTTACCCCTTCTAGAAATCTTCCTCCAATAAAAAGGCTATGGAGATTAGTTGCAGATATGGAAGATGAGCAACCCAAACAACTCCCTTGGCCTCCTGAAGTGTTTAACATGTCTAATAAAGTACCTCTATATATAAGTCAGAGTGATATATCAGAGATTACAATTGGTCATTGTATGCTAAACATATCAATTTTGCAGTTATGATTATTGTAAGTATTTAAATTATTTGTAATTATATTTTGTTGATTTTTTCTAACATTATTTCTAACATTGTTTCTAATGTTGTAGATTTATCCATAAATTGAGCATGGATAAGGGAAATGATCACATATATAGATTTTTGGAGCCTGAGTCAATCCAAAAAAGTGGGAACAAAGTCAAAGAAATACAAGCTTACATTCAAAATTGGATGTTCGACTCAAATAAAAAAGTTTACTTGGCCCCTTATTTTTCTGAGTAAGTTTAATTTTATATAATTAAATATAATTTTTTATAAAAACTATTTTTTCTATTACTCATAATTTCTTAATGCAGTGCTCATTGGCAACTTTTAGTTATTTGTCCTATGGACAACATAGCTGTATGCATTTGCTCGTTGCATAAACCTCCTCCTATGGATTTTAGACAATTATTAGATAGGTAAATTGTTTAAAAATATCTAATTTCTTTTATTGATTATCATTACATTTGACTTTACACTAATCATAATGTCATTTTATCATTAGGGCCATGGAAGGATATCATATACTTAAGGGTTCAAAGATGAAGAAAAAAATGAGTTGGGTCTCTCCTAAAGTAAGATTTTAATTCTAGCAATGATATTTTTTTTAAGTAATTTAGTAATTTTTTTTAATTACTATTCTATTGAAATTGATTTTATATTCTTTTTGTAGTCTCATAAACAAAAAGGAAATTATGAGTGCGGACACTATGTAATGAAGACAATGCATACTATTGTCGATTCACAAATAGTATCTGGGTGGACTGAAGTAAGTTTTACAATTTTGAAAGTTTTTGTTTTAAGTTCTCATTCTATATATTTTATGAATTATTACAAATTATTTTAATTTTTCTTAACAGATATTTATAGATCGATCACCATTGCCGCTAGAAGACATAAACATCATTAGGGAGCAATGGGCCACATTTTTTATTGACCATTACTTTAACTAGTTTGAGCTTATGTTTTATAGTATTGCTTTAACTAGTTAGAACTTACATTTCATTGAGCAATGTAGTTCATTTATGTATTAGATGTACTTAAAACTATTCAATTATATATATGATTAACATTTATCATCTTGTCATTTGTATGCAATTTGTGCTTCATTGAGAAAATATTTTGAACTGTCTGGTTTTTCTGCAGGTTTTTTGTTCTAAGGTGCTCCCAAAACAAGTTAAACATACAAAAAAAAATCACTACTTTTAAGATCGGTTATGCCATAACCGATTTTAAAAGTCTTGACTTTTAAGATCGGTTAAAATCATAACCGATCTTAAAAGTCTTGACTTTTAAGATCGGTTATAACAACAACTGATTTTAAAAGTAGACTTTTAAGATCGGTTATAACAATAACCGATTTTAAAAGTAGCCAGGGATGCCTGGAACGAGGTCCTTAGGCGGGTTCACCACCTTTTTCTTCTCGGCGGCGGCCGTTCCAGCAGCCATCGCCTTGCCCCATGCCTTACCTTTGCCCTTGGCAGGCGCGGAGGATCTAGCACCACCCTCTCCAACCATCAAGAAACAAAAAGATTCGGAGAAGATTCGGGAAGAAGGAGAAAGGAAAATGCAGAAAGGAAGTACCTGGTACTCTTCCTCAAAAAATAACCCTAACAATGGCTGGGTCGCTGGAGACGACAGCGAAAACAAAGAAAATGCAGACGAAAGACAAATAGGAACGAAAGAACAGCGTGCGCAAGAAGCCACAAGAATGAAAAAGAGTAAAGTGAAAAGGGGAAGAGGCGCGAGAAAGAGAAAAAGGCACCCCAAATTTCAAAACGGTCACAACACGTGTCACCCAAGGGACACACCAGATCGTGCATTAAATGAGGCCCATCATCATGGGAGAAGCCATCATTGCATAACCATCATGCCCATTAACGTGCCGTCCTCGCGTTTCGAAACGAGAAATGATAGTTGTGACACATGGCATCTCGACAGGCAGGCGTACGCGAAGGGTCACGGCCACTTGACGAGCTCGGTCTTAACTACCCACCGTCTTCGGAGCTCGGGGGGCTAGTGTACTATCTGTACCGCCATCCCGAGCTCGAGCTCGGCATCACAGTGTAGAATGACCTCGGACATGCGCTGAGAGATCTCGGTTCAGATGAGATCCGCTATCTAATCAGATCATAACTGATCTCAGGCCCAAGGCCCAACGCAACCCTAATTCACACTAAGGTACGTGCATTACTTATACGAGACATATACTTATACAAACCCTAACTTTAGCATCGGAGTCTCTTTTGCAGGTACCACCCTCATCTTGGAGCATACAAGCGTACCAGTGAAGGAGACTCACTGACCTTACCCAGCAGATCAACATTACCTCAGATCCCCTGTAAGAACACTTTGTATAGATAATAATTCGCCGTTCATAAGTATAGGTTTGTGGAGACCTCTGTATCTCTCCCTACCTCCCTTTTAATCCTGCCAAACCGAATACCCACGCATGAATCTTCCACTAAAAAGTTGAGTGGATTTAATTACCAGTCCATAATTTTGAAAGATCTGTTTGAGTTTGGCCCATAATTTGATTTACTTTCAGATTGTGGGGCTGAGGCAGTGTAATGGAAGACACATCCAGGGGAATAGTTCAAGAATTACTCACAAAAGACAACTACGAAAGATGGAAAATTCAAATGAGAAACTATCAGCGGGGGAAAGGTCTGTGGACTGTTGTGAGTACTGATTTTTATTCAACAAAAGATGATGATAGTATGAAGGATGCAGCCGCTTTGCATATCATTCAACTATCATGTGGACCAAATATTTTCGACCAGATTAAGGAATCTAAAAACGCGAAAGAAGCTTGGAATTCCTTGGCCTCGCATTAAGGTTTTGAGTTAAAAGCCGAACCAGATATTGAGCAAGGTACATACATATTTAAATGCTACTTGCATTTCGCATGTGTATTCAGGTATTTACGCGAGTTTAAAACAAGAAGCTAGAATTTAACTGAGACTACTTGGACTAGATTGGACCGTAGCTAGGTAAACTAATTTATGAATAACTACAGGAGTACATGCATGCTTGCTTGGATACATTTTCTTTTCTTCCAAAATATATATTTATGTTTAAATGTGAATGGCATGCAGGTAAAGGAGACGATAATCTTGTTTGTTTTAAAGAACTGTATTGGGACGTAGAAATAGGAAATTCGAAAGGTGTAAAGTCATTCATCAAAAGAAATAAGGGCGCGTTGTATTTTGCGTCCGAGTCAGATAAGCGGACGGTTCTTCACGTGGCAACAATGGCAGGGCACGTGAAAGTTGTTGAGATGTTAGTTAAAGAAGGGGGAGAAAGATTGTTAAAAATGCAAGACGAGCAAGGTTATACTGCTCTTGCCCTCGCTGCTGATCTGACCGGAAAAGTCGCTGTAGCAGAGTACTTGGTAAAGGATTGCGATCGAGAATCTGCTTGCTATAAAGAACAATAAAGGTGAAACCCCCCTTCTTCTAGCTGCTCGTAAGGGACACAAATATATGACTCGCTTTCTCTTCGGTATATACAAGAAAGAGCACATCGAACAAGATTTCTGCAATCTGCTTAAGCTATGTATCGAAGGGGAAATATTGGGTGAGTAAACCACACATTTATTATTTCACAACATAAATCTTATTTATTTGGAAGAAAGTTAATACCGAAATTAATATGCATGGTAGATGTGGCCCTGAAATTACTTAAATCTTACCTGAATCTGGATCAGCTGCCCACTGAATCCTTATCCGACGTCGTTGGTGCCATGAATCCATTGGCTAAAATGCCTTCTGCATTCTTAAGTGGCTGCCAATTTGGAAGCCACCTATGGAATTAGTCTACTGACTATCCTCTAAATACTATAACCCTCCAATACTTGGTTAGGAACTAAATTCCCGACTTCGTACTTTACTCGAATTTGGCCGCTTGTAATCGGTATAGCTTGACCTAGTCCCTATATTGTTGTCGCTTCATACATGTGTGCCTCAACCTTGCCCACACATGGGACCAACTAAGTCCTAGAGGAGAACAACACATCATCCACTCCAATGTGGGCAACTTCCCCAGGGAGGGTTTTCAACAAACTGAGCTCTCCAAGCACCACAATTATCTCAATCCTCACAATTGGAGGAACAACTTCAAAAACTTCTCCTCTAGTCCTAGTGATCAACAACTCATCATCATAGCACAATCAACACAGGTTTCAACTCATCATCTCAATCAACTTTCAACTTAAACAACACAATCAACTCACAACTTTAACAACATAGTTTATCAGAACAACAACTTTTCAACACTGTTTAACAACATGTTTCAACAACATAACAACTCATTCAATTCATACATATAACATCTTTACACAACTACAAAACTAAGGTTCAACATGAAACTTTCAACTCGCAACTATATCTTCTCATCATACTACAACATTCATATAGGGAATCTTGTTGTGATGCTCTAGAAGGTCAATTGTTGAAAACCCTCATTGAGTAGGTGTGAAACTCTTAGGATGGATTTTGTTGAATCTCTTCTAGATTTTTATTCAATGTGGAGTAAAGTATGAACTCGAGGGTTACCACCCTTAACTGATTACTAGAAATGTTGTGTGACTCTTTGAGGATCATTAATGGAGTAATTCCTTAAGTGATTTGATTATGCATTCCAAGGTCATGGCACGCCTATACCCAACTATACTAGTCTTAACGATGAAACCAAACTTTTCTAGCATAAGTGACGACACTCGAGAAATCAGAGGCAGAGATTAATATCTCATTTTTAATTGTTGATCTAGTGGGCACATTATTGGGTGTGAAAATGACTGAATTGATTTAGTAGGATTATGCCACTTAGATTGCTCAAGTGTATTAGGAAATTTCCATAGGTGAATATGTGTGACAACGTATTAGATGTAGTGTTTGCATATGATGTGATGTGAGTTGATATTGTTCATATGCATGGTGTGAATATCTTGTTACATGGTATGATTTTGGTGAATGTTTGAATTGTTTGGATGTTTAACTTTCAAACATGTTGATTATTATATGTTGTAAACCATGTGGTGTGCATGGTTGGTTTACATGTTGGAGGGTAGTATATAAATGTTTTCTTTCTATACTTATATGTTTATGAAATCTACTTACCTTTAGTATTTTCTTTGTGGTTGGAACTGTGATGATTATGATTGTTCATGGAAGCAAAGCAAGATTAGTTAGAATGAATTTTAGGAACTAATGTGAAACTATGTTGTTGACAATATAGTCGATGACTACTTTTGATGGTCTGTATAGGCATCACTTGAATGATGACTTTTAGAATTTATTTTCACAATTATAAATTATTATAAATATTTATATATATAATTTTGTATAGTTAATAAATTGATTTATACACACACATATACATATATATATATATATATATATATATATATATAGAGAACAACACATCATCCACTCCAATGTGGGCAACTTCCCCAGGGAGGGTTTTCAACAAACTGAGCTCTCCAAGCACCACAATTATCTCAATCCTCACAATTGGAGGAACAACTTCAAAAACTTCTCCTCTAGTCCTAGTGATCAACAACTCATCATCATAGCACAATCAACACAGGTTTCAACTCATCATCTCAATCAACTTTCAACTTAAACAACACAATCAACTCACAACTTTAACAACATAGTTTATCAGAACAACAACTTTTCAACACTGTTTAACAACATGTTTCAACAACATAACAACTCATTCAATTCATACATATAACATCTTTACACAACTACAAAACTAAGGTTCAACATGAAACTTTCAACTCGCAACTATATCTTCTCATCATACTACAACATTCATATAGGGAATCTTGTTGTGATGCTCTAGAAGGTCAATTGTTGAAAACCCTCATTGAGTAGGTGTGAAACTCTTAGGATGGATTTTGTTGAATCTCTTCTAGATTTTTATTCAATGTGGAGTAAAGTATGAACTCGAGGGTTACCACCCTTAACTGATTACTAGAAATGTTGTGTGACTCTTTGAGGATCATTAATGGAGTAATTCCTTAAGTGATTTGATTATGCATTCCAAGGTCATGGCACGCCTATACCCA